TAAAAAGTTGTGAACTATTACAATATATGGATGGTCCTTTATCCATTTTAAGGTCTGGATAAAATACAAACACTTCGGTACTAAGTCTCAAGCGTGGAGCCCTCCCCCCCCCACCAAAAACAAAAGTTCTCAAGCATACATAAATAGTTAATTATCATATACTTTTTAGTGATTCCCTTCCATTTCAGAGCTATTTAATGGACTTTTAAATTTATTATCACCGATAATCCTTCTTCTTGTTAATTCCACATAAACAACTAATGAATTTAATCTAATCACATCAATCATATATAAATGATAATAATCATGACAAAATCAAATACTCTTCACTTACACTTATAAATTTAATATGGTTTAAATTTAAAATTTTTAATTTTTAAATCTAAAAAGATGGTATAATGTGGGTTTTGAATTGTTGGGTCATTGTAAACCACAGAAAAGCTTATTTCAAATAATAATATGGATTTGGGAAGAAAATTAAAGAGGAGAAAAAAAGACCATATGGGTGTTTGAAGAGGGTACAATAAAAATCCAATAAGAAAGGTATGTTCTTTTATCCATAATTGTAATAGGGAGGCTCATACCATTTACATGAATGGATATATATAAAATAGAGTTGGAAAGTGATGGGTGGCACTGTTGCATGGTTGAAGACGCATGAGACATTTGCAAAAGCCTAAAGGCATTCACGCACGCATCCCCATTTTTATGCATATATCATGTCAATAGCAATAATATTCCAAAGCGTTACATCAATCATATCATGGACTCTAGGAAAAATCACATCCCTTTTTTAAATTTTTTTCTTATGGTGGGACAGCACCGGAGATCGTACGTATATTATTGATCTACATACAAACAAGAACCAATGGTGGAGTTAACAGTACCTTTTAAATGGTTTGAGTTTAAATTTTAAGTATTTGAGTGAGGTGATCAGAATTTTGAATTTTATCATCATTATGAATTCTATCAAAAGTGATATGATGGTCGCGTGTTTTATTAGGTGAAATATTCACCCGATCTAAAAATCGAATCTCTAATTATTAACAATTAATTTATATTAACTTCCTAACAATTACTTTTGTCTAAACAAAAAAAAAAAAAAACCAATGGTGGAGCCAGCCGGAGATGATCCATGTGCGTCGCTCATGCTTCTATGTGGATGGGGGATTAGATCCAACGGTCCTGATTTGATACTGGAATTAGTGGCACAGCACGCTGGGGGTGAACGAAATCCAGCACTATCTCTGATGGCTTTGGAATTCTCCGAAATCTCAGCTTAATCCCGAGCTTAATTAACTTTATATTGGCACCGTTCATTCACTCCACGTGTCAAGCACAGCACGGTTTGATTTTTTTAATTAGTAATTTTATAAAAATATATTGTAAAGGCAAAATGGTATGAAACGATATCATTTAAATCATTCAACATATAAGAAATAAAAAATAAATTGCGTCATTTTGATATTTTAAATGTTATAATTTGTTGTAAATTTATTTAAATATTTTTAATAGAATTTTTTTACATATTAATTCATTAAATTTATTTTAATTTTTTTATTATCAATCTTAACATTTTAATATTCTTTAACTCCATAAAAAAAATCTATTAAATTTGAAGTTTTGTTTTAATTTTTAATTTACAATTCTTAATTTGCAATCTTAATTGTAAAATTAAGAATGATGACTCAATAGTTTTTTTTTTTTTGAATAATTTGACGTGGGTCAAGATCAAACCCATTAAAAAAAAAGAATTGCACCTATTCAATATTCAATATGACTAATACCATTAGTCTTGGATGACTAGGTGGATGACTTAATAGTTTATTATTGATGAGTATTGGTGTGGAATTTATTTACTAGTAGAAAATGAAATGAAACAACCAAATCTTATATTGCGGTTTTCCTAGGCCCACCAACTTATACTTTTAAGCAAGTAAAGTGAGGTAACAAAGTCAAGATAAGGCTCATTAACATTAATTTTAAGTAATGAAATGCGAAATGTAAAGATCTTAGAACGTAATCAATGGGACCCATTTCAAGACTACAATCATACAGTGTGGTCCATGGTGATGGCTACAACCACTGATGGAGAAGGCTTTGGACGTCCCTTTTTTTTTTCTCTTTCCATGGAGGGGAGAGTGACAATGTGCAAAGTTACTGAAAAAACAAAAAGGAAAATTGGATTCATCATATCTCCAGCCCATTTCTTCATTATTAACTTAGGACAATGCTTAATGATTTTCAATGTAAAAAGGAAAAAAGAAAAAGGTAATCATCATTGTTTGATTCATTTCACGCCTTCTCGTCATACATGGCATTCCGTTATGTCTACCCACCTGACCTAAGATGAGCAAAATGACTAAGTTGATAGACCCTAATTAATTTAGGGCTTAATTAAGTTTCATGCATGTATTTGCAACTAAATTGCTTGCATACTAATTAAGTTTATACAATGTGTTTACATTAAAATTTTTTATAATGAAAAAAATCCTATATTATAGATTAGGTTGATCAATGAAATATAGGCTGTAATATGTTGTTTGAGTAGAGTTTCTCATGAGAAATCATGTTTCTTGTTAGGTTTCAAAAAATAAAAAATAAATAAATAAATGAAGAAGTTGCTTTCAAATTTGATACAAATTGGCGTGACTTATGATGGATCATGGGGTGGATAAAATGATGAATAGGGTGGAATTAGGTGGTTGGGTTGGGGGTGGAAGGGTCA